ACTGCGCGCACTAGTGGTCGCAGTTCGCGTCAGCGTCCTCCTCCTGTCCCTGGCACGCACCGGATGTCTCTGCGTCCGTCTACTGCTCCTCTGCGTGCCCCTTTGCCTTCTCCTCTTGCTTCCTCTCTTCCTACTCTTGCCGACCCGGAGTCGGACTCTCTTCGTGCTGCCAGTCCTACTGTCACGCGTCTCCTTGCTACTGCCGTCACTGACCCTTCTTTCGAGTCTTCTGCTGCGTCTGCCCTTGTTACTGAGCTCGTCGACTTTGCTGCGCGCTGTCGTCTAGACTACGCTGCTAGTCTTGTCGCTGAGTCTGAGTCTGCCTGTCCTCCGTCCGTCGAGGGTGAGTGTGCCCTTGGCATGGACGTCCTTGAGGACAGGCAGGAGGAGTTCCAGTGTCTGGCCGCCGCTTCACCCCATCTTGCGTCTGTACTGCTCACCCCTGAGGGAGACCGGGATGCACTAGACATCCCGACTCCGCGCTCTTACGCTGAGGCGATAGAGGGTCCCTACTCCTCTCAGTGGCAGGCAGCTATGGATGCAGAGATGGCTTCCTGGAAGTCCACAGGCACCTACGTTGACGCTGTCCCCCCTCCTGGGGCGAACATCGTCAGTGGCATGTGGATTTTCAGGGTGAAGCGGCCGCCGGGTTCTCCGCCTGTCTTCAAGGCGCGTTACGTGGCTCGTGGCTTCAGTCAGCGGCAGGGAGTTGACTACTTTCAGACCTTCTCCCCGACCCCGAAGATGACCACTCTTCGGGTACTGCTGCACGTTGCTGCTCACCGTGACTACGAGCTGCACTCTCTCGACTTCAGCACTGCTTTCTTGCAAGGCAGCCTGCACGAGGAGATCTGGCTGCGTCGCCCACCTGGCTTCACTGGGTCTTTCCCTCCTGGTACCCAGTGGAGTCTCCGGCGTCCAGTCTACGGTCTCCGCCAGGCGCCGCGTGAGTGGCACGACACACTGAGGACTACGCTGGCGGCACTTGGGTTTGCTCCTTCCACTGCAGACCCGTCGCTGTTTCTGCGCACCGACACCTCTCTGCCGCCGTTCTACATCCTCGTGTACGTCGACGACTTGGTCTTTGCCATAGCTGACACTGCTGGACTCGCCTACGTGAAGTCCGAGCTGCAGAAGAGACACATGTGCACTGACCTGGGTGAACTGCGCAGCTATCTCGGCTTGCAGATCACCCGGGACAGAGCACGCCGCACCATTACCCTGACTCAGTCACACATGGTGCAGCAGGTCCTTCAGCGCTTCGGCTTCACGTACTCCTCGCCTCAGGCCACTCCTCTGCCTACTCGCCACTCGCTCTCAGCTCTGCCTTCGGATGAGTCCGTAGAGTCGAGTGGCCCGTATGCAGAGCTTGTTGGGTGCCTCATGTACCTGATGACCTGCACACGACCTGACCTTGCATACCCTCTTAGCATTCTCGCACGCTATGTTGCTCCTGGGAGACACCGACCAGAGCACATGGCTGCAGCGAAGAGGGTGTTGCGCTACTTGTGCAGTACGTCGGGCATGGGGCTAGTGCTTGGAGGGCGTAGTCCAGTGGTCCTCACTCGGCACGCGGACGCTTCTTGGGCTCACGACCAGGCTAAGCAGCGGTCGTCGCAGGGTTACACCTTCAGTCTTGGTTCCGGCTCTGTTTCGTGGCGGGCTACCCGCTCGTCTTCTGTTCTCGGCTCCAGCTGTGAGGCTGAGATCTACGCCGGGGCCATGGCTGCACAGGTGTTACGCTGGCTCACCTACCTGCTGACCGACCTTGGAGAGCCGCCTCGTTCTCGTCCAGTGCTGTACGTAGACAACAAGGCCATGCTGGCCTTGTGTCGAGAGCAGCGACTGGAGCACAGGACAAAGCACATTGCTCTCCGCTACTTTCTTGCTCGTGAGCTACAGCAGCGTGGACAGTTGCGACTTGCGTACGTGGCCTCTGAGGCCAACACTGCTGATGTCTTCACCAAGGCACTTGCGCCTTGTGATCATCAGCGCTTCTGCACGCAGCTGGGTCTTGTGCTTGTCTTGCCTCACTTGCTCACTTCTTGACCTTGCTTGTACCTTCACCTATATATACTCTTGCTCTTGCTTGCTTGATTCTTGTATATCTCTATATATGATCTTGCATGTGAACTGGCCTTCTGGCCTTTGAACTTGTGCTCGGAATGTGTGGTGACTTTGTGATCCACCCTGAGCTTTGCTTTGCTTTGCTTGACTGGTCTTGTGACCCCTTGTTCTCCCCCACTTTGCCTATGGGGGTGTGTCAGAACATTATAGCTTACTTATTTGTGTAGGCTATAGTGGGGTATCCCATAGGGGGTACAACCCAATTAGGGTTTCCTATTTGTACTCACTTCGTTCATAGTCATTTCATTCTCTCGTTCTATTCTTCTCAATAGCCTCTAGCTTTGCTTACACTTGTGAACTTTAAACTGTTGCTTCTTGAACTTGTGCTCAGAATGTGTGGTGACATTGTGATCCACCCTGAGCTTGTTCTGCTTTGCTTGCTCTGCTGATTACACCCCACTTTGGCTATGGGGGTGTGTCAGAATGTTATGCTGTAGCCTGTAGTGGGGTGCTCTATAGCGAGTACAACCCTTCTAGGGTTTGCTATTTGTATCCCCATTCTTGCTAGTTCAATGCTCTTCTTTCTTCTAAATTTCACAAAAGCCACGTCATTCCAGCACATCCTGACTGGACGCGCAGCCAGTCACGTCTTCACGAGTCAAACGAAGCGAAATTGAAATCTGACTCGCTGCAAAAATGGATTTCGTTACTGTTGTAGGCAAGAATTTAAATTCAAATCGCATATGCGCTTAGAATAAGTAAAGGTTTTCTAGGGGGGGCGCTTATACCGTCTCCCCCCGGATATAAGCGCCACCCTAGGATAAGCGCCTGGCGCTTCTAATTGGCATATGGCGCTTATATCCCCTCCTCGATTATAAGCGCACCCCTTGAAAAAACTTGTTTTATTATAAGCGCACGTAAACTTTAAAATTTGAAATGAGTTCAAAAAGCTGTAACGATTTTTACTTTAGCAGGCGGATATGTTGCAGAATCGGTTCCCTTCACATTCGGACCCTGCACTGGATGCGGGTCCAGTCAGCAGGACCTGTCAGGAGCTGGATGTGAGTCAGATTGGGTGTATCTCCCAGCGCGCGCGAGAATTTCACAGACGATCCCATGTAACTTCGACTCGATTGAAAAGGCAAGCACGAGACCTACAGTTTGGTGTTAAAAGATATAAAAAAATATGTATGTCATTTTATAAACGCCGGCGCTTATAAATTTACTCGATTATAAGCCCACCCCCATGAAAAAACCTGTTTTATTATTGCCCCCCATGGGGGTATATCCGGGGGGATACGGTAATTGAATTCCGGCCATAGGCGCCATGCTCCAGATAGAAGCGCCGGCGCCTTTAATCGGACGGCGCCTATATCCGGGGCCATACGGTATATGCATCTGGACACCCTACAATGCCAATTTCGCGAGGGAAAAATTCCCGCGCATCGAAACCACACCCCCGCCCGGGGGTTGAAGAAACGGGTGTACCTTATCAAATGCGTACAACTGTACATTTCGCCTAGTGTCGCGATACATCCAATTTTTGAGACGCGAGGTTGACAAAATGTATAGACGTGATCCGGTAAAAAGGGCATCGAGACATTTGTCTCGACACAGGAATGTACCATTTGTTGGGGATGAAGGGACGGTCGAACATGATAGAAAGTGCATCCGTATTTGGTTTCTCATTTAGAGATACCCGATACAAAAACAATTTAGGTAATGCATTATTCGAAACCTAGATAAGACTTTGTTAAGACTAGTGCTCGAGATAGTACTTTTTGTCTCCTGATTTAGTAAGGATTTGTGCTTTCACAAACCTCATAGGATAAAGATAAGTTTTACGGTATGACAAGTTTGTAGTTTAATTGTTATGAACGAACTTGCAGAGTGCGCAGTAAAACGAATAACGAGAATGAACTCAAATATACTGACGATACAATGAAAGTGATGAGGCCTAAATAGGGGAAACGCTAGCTAGGCGGGGAGATCGGGAATGGATGGCTCGGTGATGTTGCGATTGGGGCGGAGGCGTCTCGGGAGTGGTTCGGTGCGACGAAATAGGCAGAACAGGTTCGTCGCGTGACCCTCTGGATGACCTCGCTAAAGAGTGCCTCAGTAAGGATTCTGTGAATCCTTACATTAATGGGTAGTTTGTGTTGAAATTAGGAGGTCGCTAGAGTAGCGGAAATACTCTAGGAAATAACGACGTCCCAGCGGCGGGGCTATGGTCACTCAGAGGTAGCTCTCCTGGCTTGTAACTTGGTGCCAAAGCGGCGGCCGAGGGTAGGCCGGACACAAGCTTGAGAATTGTGTAATGATAGCATGGCAGTACATTGAGTTATATAGGAAACATAGCAGGGAGGCAGTTACCAAGGCGCAACTGTATTACAGTTGCGCTGTAACGTTTCAGTTGCCCAGTTACTGGCGAGACCTTTCAGCTTCGGCAAGGGCGCGGTATTCTGCCGCGCCTCCAGGGTGGTTTCGCGTACTGTAGACGCTGCCTCTTGCTCAATTCGACCCTTCGGCTGCCACGCGGGTCGCGACCACTGTACGCGGTTGCGCCCCTGCAGTTCGATAGTTGAGTCAACACCCCCGATATTGAGGGCTTCGCTTCTGCACTTCGAACAGTGCACTGCAAGATAAATAACACACAAATATATTTCCAACAGTTTGTTCGGGCACCCAATTTGTTTGAGCTATATTTTCCAAGGGTTGGTTCCGCCGTATGCCCATCCCGCCCGCCTTCAGCTGCTGCCAGCCTTCTCTTTTCACCTTGCCTACCTCGGTCGCGTTCGTCACTTCCCGTCCCGACGCGCCTCACTGCGCGCGCCACGCCGCTGCTCAGTAATTGTCCAGTGAATCGCTCACAAAAAGAAGAAGAAGTAGAAAAAATATCACCTTCTAAACCTCCGTTCTATAGGCCGCGACCAATGGGCGACCAGCAGGTGGTGGGCAACGGAAGTCACGCCCAAGCGTTATGCGCCGGCGGCGCACGCGGAAACGGCGGAAGCGGGGATTTGGCGCAGCTTCCGAAGGAAAGCGCCGGAGCCGCTGATCGGCAACGTGACGACCATCGACTTCTGCCTCTCCGCGCCCTTCCACTTCGCCGCTACCATCTCCACCAGCGTGCGCCACTCTCGCCCCTCCCACCCCCCCTCTCATTGCATTTCTCCAAATCTCATTGCGAGGGTGGCCACCAACTCCACCCGCATGCGCCTCCCACCCCCTCCTGCCCGCTCCCCGCTCTCCGTTCCACGCCCCCTTCGCTCCGCTCTCTCAGCAATCTTCTCTTAGTTTCCCCAAAACCCTTCCCCATCCTCCACTCCTTCCATCCCCCACGCCCTTCCCCGCAACTCGCACACTCCCCATCCCTCCTTTCTCATTTTCTTCCCCGTATCGGGCTTCCCAGCCCGCCAGTTCCGCACCCTATTCATCCGCTGCCGCCTCCGTTCCGCTCTCCCTGTCCGCCAGTGAACCACTCAAAACCGCCTCCCGCTTTGAAGGACTTGTGAGAGCCCTCTCTTACCCCTCCACCGCTCCTTTCGCCCCACTCCCTCCCTCCCCTCCCCTCCCCTTCCTTCCCTCCTTCCCCTCCCCTCCCCTCCCCTCTCCTCCCCTCCCTTTCCTCCCCTCCTCTCCCTCCCTCCCCTTCCCCTCCCCCCTTCTCCCCTCCCCTCCCCTCCTTCCGCCCTCCTCGTTCCCCCCGCGTGCATGGCAGGCATGCAGGCATACAGCTGGCGGTTCAGGGCGCCAGCTGCTGATGGCGGGCGGGGAGAGGCAGGGGCATCATGTAGGTCAGGCGGGCGCCTCTTTGGGGGAGGGGAAAGAGGGAAGCATGGGAAGAAGGCGATTGGTTGGGAGGAGGGGGGCAATGGGTGGGTACGGTGAGAGGGTCTGAGTGTGTGAGAGCATGTTCGGTTCTGCTTGCACCTACCCACACATGCATTGCTGCATGTGCACCCGTTCCTCCCCTTGGTTTCCGCACCTCCTGCTGGAGCTCCGTGTGCGCCTGAGTAAGGGGCAGCTGGAATGTAATTCAGTGTTCCTCGCCGACTGGTCACTGCCCACACCGCTCGCCTCTCCCACTCCTCTTCTGCTTCTTCCCCTGCCTCTACTGCTTCCTCCCCTCTTCAACTCAATGTGCAAATGCGACATGCATGATTCCTCGCCCACTCTGCTGTGTTTCCCCACTCCCAACTCGACCACACGCTGCGTGCCATTAAGGGACTGCCAGGCTCTGCCTCTTCAGCTCCCTACAATGTCTCCACCCCGCTAACTCCAACCCGCTGTCCCATTCCTTCACGGTTCACTATTCTGAATGCGCCCTCAAACGGTTCTCTGTATCAATGAGGGGATTGGCCTGGGCTCCTCAATGCGTACGCACAGAGTACTCATGCACGCTCCATTGCACGCCCATGCTCACTTGCACATGCACCAACCAGCCCACCCACCCACCGACATGCACATATCGCTTCCAGCTGCCCAGCCCTCCCCCTTGCCTCTCGTTCTCTCCCATTTCCGACCTGTTTGTCCTGGTTTGCCCTTCTTCCCTGCCTTCCATTCGCAACAACAATAATTCGTTACACCCCTCAGCATTCCTTCTCTCCGCTCTGCTGTGACCAGGCCCATCCTCTTCCCCATCAACTTGCCCATTCCCCACCACCTCGTCCTTGCACACGCTCACTAGACCGGTCCTCGCCCTTACTTCTCTCCTCCTCCCACCTCCCCTTTTCTTGGACCTCTCCCCCCTCCCCCGCCTCCTCTTCCCTCCGTCTCTCACTTCACCCCTCTCCCCCTCCACCCGGGGTGGTGGTGGTGTGCTGCAGAGGAGTGAGGGCGGTGCACTTTGCGTTTGACAGCGCTCTGCACTGGTGACACGTCAGCTCTCAGGTCCGCGCTGCTGCGGATGGCTCTCTCCCCAGTTCTCCTGCTCCCGCTCCCGCTCCCGCTCCCGCTCCCGCTCCCGCTCCCGCTCCCGCTCCCGCTCCCGCTCCCGCTCCTGCTCCTGCTCCTGCTGCACGTCGCATGCTCTCGTCTATCTACGTCTTGCTTCCACTCTCCACTCGTAACGCCTACCACATTGGGACCGCCCGTCGTCTCTCCACTCGTAACGTGCAGCTGTTTAGTCCTACCATCTACCGTACCTTCTCATCATTCATACACCTCCTGCCACACCACTCACTGCTCTTCCCGCAAGCCTCACACCATCTTCGCTTTTTACTGGCCCTCTCTCTCCACTTCATCCTTCACCTCCTCTTCCCTCCCCTCCCCTCGCTGCCAATACTCTCTCCAGCACAGCTTCTCTTGGCACCTTTCTCTTGACTGTGCACAGTTCAATCACCCAATCCTCGCTCTCTTGTTCCGCATGTGTTCCACCCATCACCCCCCTGTCCCGTCCGCTTCCTTCCCACTCTACATCACGCCACACGTGGGGATGTGGGTCAGGCTGAAAATTACTGAGTGGCACAGCGCAAGGGCGTGCATGTGTCACCCACGGCACGCAGCACCGCATCCCACTCCCCTCTCCCAAGCCCTTTCCGATCTTCATGCCTGCAACCACTCTTTTTGCCACGTGCATGTACCCCAGGCGGAGGACTACCTATGGGCGCAGCACAAGCACGTGCGTCTCCTGATGGCAGGAGAGTAAAGGGAGGCAAGTGTGTGTGGCAATGACAACAGAGTATGGTGCCTTGCATGGCAGCATGGCAGCAGCGGCACAGAAAGACCTGGTCATCATGCGGCAGCGCCCCTTATAGTTTGCTCTCATGCTCTCCGTAGCCGTGGCGGCGCGTGAGAGCCCCTGGTGGGCGGTGCACGACAACAAGCTGCGGCGCTTCTAGCACTACGCTGCCCTCCCAGCCGCCATGCAGGACGCTTCCTGGAGAAATCCGAGGTTGGTCGCACATGGGGGAGGGGGGATTTGGGGTGAAGGGGGAGAGGAGAGGGGGGCAGGGGAGGGTGGGTTAGTGTGGTGGGTGCATTTATGTCTTTCCGGTCATCTGCTGCTCGCAGAGCCGCCATGCAGGACGCGTTGCTGGAGAAACTAGAGGTCATGCATGCGTTGCTGGAGAAACTAGAGGTCATGCATGCGTTGCTGGAGCCACACATGTGCATGGGGACGGGCGAGAGAGGAGAAAAGGGGTATGGGGGGGGAAGGGGGGAGGGCACGAAGGGGAACAAGGGGGTTTGCGGAGGCTGGGTGCACATGTGTGCCTGCTTGCCGGCTGTCCCCTGAACCACCATGCAGTACACTTGTCTTATTGCCTTTCACCTTTTATACCTCTCCCTTGTCGTTCTCCTCGTTCTGTTTCCCCCTTCTTCAATCTCTCCTTGTTGTTGTTTCCCACTTTCCCTTGCTTCCTTTCTCTCCTCTCGCGCCCTGCTCCCCCTTTCGAGATCAGTGCTCCTCGCTACCAGCAAGGAGATGCTGTGCCATCTCCCCGCATCTCCCTTCGTGAATAGCTTGTTTTCCCCCTTACCTCGCCCCTCGGCCCCCCTGCAGATGCTGGTAGCGTAGTGGTGGTGGAGGAGACGATAGCTCCAACCCCCACCCACCCGTCCTCTCCCTCTTCTCCCATTCTCCTCGCCCCCCCACTCAGTTGCTGGTGGCGGTGGTGGAGGAGATGGTAGCGCGCAACGTGCTGGCCAGTGCCATTGCCGTGCTGCCTGTCAAGTCGCTCAGCCGCTTCCTGCAGTTCTGCAGTTCTGCAGTTCGCCCCCCTCTGCGTGCAACGCACCTCCCTGCGTGCAACGCACCTCCCTGCGTGCATCGCACCTCCCTGCGTGCATCGCACCTCCCTGCTTGCATCGCACCTCCCTGCCTGCATCGCACCTCCCTGCGTGCATCGCACCTCCCTGCCTGCATCGCACCTCCCTGCTTGCATCGCCTTTCAGTGCCGCTCTACCCATTCTCGTTATGTGCTTCCCAAGGCTCCCTCTGCCATTGCATCCCACGTCACTCCACCTCTCTGCATTCTCCTACACAGTCACACCACCACATATACACCCCTGCAGTAACCCTCAAGGCCCCCGTCACAGTCACACCTCACCACCCTTCCTCTCCCTTACCTACGCTCCACACCCTGCTTGGTGTATCTTTCCTTCCTAAATTTATCCTCTTCATCCCGTCCCCTTTGTGTCCATCTCTAGGCTCACCACTCTTCCCTTCCCGCCTGCACCCGCATTACCCCCCAACACCCTCGTGCAACCCCCTCCCCCTCACCCACCATTCGAGCAGGTTGGTATGACATCAGCGGTACAGCACGTCGCTGCCACGCCCAAGCTGCAGCAGGGGGTATGTGGTGAAGGACGTAGTTCCCGCCTGCTGCTGCAGTGCCCGCCTGTTCTTGTTTTCTGGCTCCTCCACACTCGTGCCAATCTCCCTATTACTCTGCAAGACCCCCATGCTTCCCTCCTTTCAACCCCTTTCTCCTCTCCCCTCTTTTTCTGCTTCACTCTTGACTCCCCACCACCGAATATATCAACCCCCACCAACACCCCACCCTCTCCTCTCCTCCCCCCCCTCCACCCCCCAGTTCCACATGGTGGCGCAGGTGGTGGGGGCGGAGGCGCATTTCTTTTCATTTCTATCAATCTCCCCACCCGCTTCCCTTTCTTTTCTCCCCCCCAGTTCCACATGCTGGCGCAGGTGGTGGGGGCGGAGGCGCATGCGCTGGCGGAGCTGCAGGGCTTTGTGCTGGCGCTGCTGCGCGCCTTCACTGCTGCCAACGCCATCTCCACCGCCGAGGCAGACGCCATCGCCGCTGCTGCCATCCTCGAGGGTGGGGCCGTGGAGGATGACGTGCTCTGATGTGTGGTTTAGCTTAGCTTAGGGGAGGTGGCTGGGCTGGGGATGGAAGGGTGGGGGGTGTTGGGCTGAGAAGAGCCCCAAAGCATGCTCATAATTGTTATCAACATTGGCGCAAGTGCCCCCAATGTTCAGATTACGAAGACAGCAAGTAAATGAGGCAGGACCTCATTAGTCTCAGTGCACTGTGGTGTGTAATTTGTACCGTAAATTGCATGGGGGGAATGGATACAGCTCCATTAGCATGCCACATTTCTATTTCACCAACAATACAGATATGGTAGCAAACACTGGGCATTGGGGATGAGGAAAATCAGATTGTGCTATCTGTGACTATCATTCCAGGATTGCGCTAGCTGTGACTATCATTCCAGGATTGTACTATCTGTGACTATCATTCCAGGAAGGCCGTCCCTAATCAGCCCTTCAACATCTTCAGCTTCTGTCCCAATCACCTTGAGGCTATTAAGCCCGTTCAGCCACTTGACACCGGCAGCAGTGATTCGAGCATTCCACAGCTCCAGCTTCTCCAGGCGTGTCAGGTTCCTCAGATGCTTCATGCTGGAATCGGTCACACCTGAAGGCAAGCTGAAAAGTTTCAGGGAGGTGAGAGTCGTCAGCTGCTTCAGCCCATCCTCCCTCACTCCACTGCCACTCAGCCAGAGGAACTCCAGTGATGTCAGTTTTCCCACGTGCACCATGCTCGCAGAGGTGACCGACTCGCAGTCATTCAAGGCCAGAGACACTAATGCAGTCAACCCCCGCAGCTTCGCGATTCCAGCATCGGTTATCTTGGTCATACTAAGATAGAGTGTGTTGAGATGTTTCAGGCTGCTGATACCTTCAAGAGAAGCGTCCGTTGCATTTGTCTGTGCCAGATTCAGGAATGTGAGACCTGTGAGGCAGAAGAACTGTGTTACCCTCTCTGCAGTGAAGCCGGAGGATCCAGAAAGGTCGAGCGACGTGAGAGAACGAAAGGAGGCGAGTTGAGAGAGAGCAGCGTCGGTGAGGTAGTCATCACTGATATCCATGCGAGTCTCGTTCGGAGACACTTTGCTCCACAGCGTCAGCAGTGCCTGCAGCCACGAACAGCAAGTGGAGCAGCAAGGGGAGCGGCAAGGGGACAATTCAATTAGCAAAGGCAGCAGGAAGGACAGCAGGAAGGACAGCAGGAACTAAGGACAGGAGTAAGGCAGCAAGGGCCTCACCTCCCACGTCTTGCCTCCAACCGCTTTCCTCAGTTCTTCCACCGCCGTTCGCTTCTCCAGCGCCACCACGCGGTCACACAGCTCCTGCAGTTCAGCCTCGCCGTCGAAGTCCTCCTCTCCATTCGCCCCCCACTCCTCCTCGCTCTCGCTTTCCGCCTCATCCCCCTTTCCTTCGGCGGCACTACCACCGACAGTAAGCTTCGGCTCGGCGTCCGCAGCAGCACCAGCGATGCCCCCTTCTCCGGCGACTTCCCCTCCTTCCGCGGCTAATGCCATCTCCACCTCTTTCCCCGGCGACTCCTCCCTCTTCCGCCGCTTCCCCGCGCTGCTCTCCTCGCGCTCGTCGCGGCTCTTCTCCGCGCGGCCGTCCTTGAACGCCGCGAGTTCCGCCTCCAAGTCGTTGATGCGCCCCTTTGTGGACTCCACCTCCGCCGCCATGGTGCGGCGCATGTCCGCCATGTCGCGCTGCATGGCAGCCATGGCGTCGCCCTGCTCCCTCAGCTTCGCCTCCAACGCCGCCACGCGCTCGTCCACGCCGCTCGCCATCTCCTCTTTCATAAGCATTACGTTTGCGCTGGAATGCTGTCTGGCTTGACTGGTACCACTGAACTCACGGACTTCTACGTATTGCTAAAACTAATCTGTAGGACGGAGAAACTGAAGGTGGGAGTGAAACGTCCAGCACAACGAAAATGGTGGCACTGTACGGGGACAGAAATGGTAGCCGAGTGTGCAGTGGAATGCAGAATGCTGTTTATGTATCTCAAGCCTTGCCTGAAACTAACATTTTGTGGTGCCGAATCGCCCGCTTTCAAACCCGACCCAGCCGCGTTCACAGCCCAGGCAGCTTTTCCCGCGTGTTCCTGGCAAGCCTATCTCGTCAAGCGATTTCACTGGCAGTCTGACATCCACCTACTCGCCAATCACAGCACATTAGGGCGTGTTCTGAAGTTACGACGAAAAGCATGAGCGGTAGATTCGTTCCGTTTCCCTACTAGGACTGTGACACTCCCTCGCGATTCTACAATGCGGCGACAGACGATGTCACCGCGAAACCGTTTGTTTGCAGGAAGAATGTCGCACTGAAAATTGCGACGGTGGGAAAGTTTGCGAACGAGCGACACGGCGAGCGGTCGATTTCGTACTGCACAAAACCGCGGTGTCCGTCCAGTCTGCCTCGAGTGCTGTTTGCTGTCGGTTTTTTTGTTCTGTTTACATATGGCGAGAATCTAAAAACAGGTTACTCAACAAAATGAACAACGAAATGATATGTGACTGTACAATTGGGACCGGCCCTCAGTGCACCACACTCCAACCCGATCAAAGATATTCGCGCCTTACTTTCATCGCGCTTTCCCTGTATTGCACAGCTTGATCCATTGTCGACCTGAACAGATAATATTGAAATAACGTTTTCTCAAATCTGTACACCATTGTTACAATAAGGAAACAACTTTTCATTACTTCGTGTCACACTGTATACCGCGTACACGGCTATTCCCGCCACTGTACATGCAGCAGTTGCCCGTTACCACTCCGCGGCACTCGCCTCGACACAGTTCTCATCTATGTTACGAATAGTAATATCTGATATTACTAATCACTCCTCACCGTAGCAAGGAACGCACAATATCGGGAATGAACACAAGCGTCAGACGGTTGGAATTGAGTCGAAGAGTCGGACGGTTCCAGCACATCTGAACCGTCGGAAGCAAACGGCATCGGACAGCTACAGGCAGGATGGTTTTGGCGGGAACAGTTACGAAACTGTACGCGCCGAACGGTTGGGATGCACTCTTGAATAAGGGAATGTACCCCTTAGAGTACATGGCTAGCTAGGTCGTTTCGTCTTCCCTGTACTCATATTTATACTCCATGTATCTGCATGTCTTAATCATCTCAAAGCATTTTACATTCACTCTGCTATTGAGGTCAAGGGCCCACCAACACTACCTCAATGCGTGCGAACCTTCCAGAGTAGATCCTGGACTACGATCAACTTCTGATCGCAGCATGGTATGAGAGCGGCTCTGGAATCCTTCGCGCCGTCACTCCCGAAAATTACGACATTCGGAAAGTGGCGACCGGCACACGATCACGCACGAGGATGGCCGGAGGATCTGGTGGTCAGACTAATCTGACGGCTGAAGCACAACCCAACCCAGCTGCGACAAGCAGGAACACGACGACAATCGACTACCAAGTTCTCGCACAACTTCTTCAGCGACTCACCAGCTTGGAGCAAGGACTACAAACATTGCGGAACGGCGATGCGGGAACTTCTTCGCAACCCTCTCAACCGACCCCGACTGGCCAAAACACCGCCCCGCAAACATTCTCCCTCGATACCAATGGCTCAACCCCCAAGACTCCCCGTCCCAGTGAAGAGGCAATTCTCTCCGCTCAATCAAGGTTTCTCAGCATATCAAAAATAAAGACAAGTACCTGTTTTGACGGCAGAGACTTCTATACCTGGAGCTTCGAATTGGAGCTCTTGCTGCAGAACGCCCAAATTTTCCATTACTTCGACGGGAGCTACGCGGAGCCTGCTGAGGACACCGACAACGCCAAGACGAGGTATTACAACGAATCGCTGATGGCGTACGGAGTGCTCCTGCGGAATATGTCGGCGGCGGAGCAGCTCAACATTCGTTCGTACAAAACGACAGCTGCTCCAGCCCTCAACGCCTGGCGACATCTGACAGGCGTGTATCAGCCCAAGGACTCCGTGTCCTCGAGCCAACTACTCCAGGAACTACTGGAAACCAAGATGACCTCAGGAAAGAAGGTCAACAACTACCTTAACCGCTGTCGGAGCCTTCGCGATCAAATCGTGAAGTTGGGAAGCACGATATCGGAAGAAATCTTCGTCAACATCGTGCTTCAAGGGCTCGGCCCAGAGTGGTGGCCCTGCAAGGCGCTTCTCCGACAGCAGGGGGTCATCTCGGAGGCCGCCCTTTGCGCCGCCCTTCTCGTCGAACAGAGGGATATGGATCAGCAGCAACCAGCGCCGCGACGAGAACGAGAACGGCTCGCCTTCTACGCCGACAACAACGAAGAGCGACGGCCGAGGCGCCTCTACTGCGAAATTTGCAGAAATTTCGGGCACTTGGCGGATCGATGTAAATTCCGATCTCGCCCTCGCAAGTCCAATCCGAGCACTTGGACCGGCCGACAAGACGCACGAGGCGACGTGTGTCCAACCCAGGGACAACAACTCCCACCTGCGCGCAACCTGAACCCAGCGGTTCAGCATCAGCAGCAGCAGTCGTCATCGACTGCCCCAATTCGCAATGTCATGAGCAACATGACCATGACAGGCGAGTCGCGTCGTCGCCGCGTGTGCTCACCTTCACCTGAGCCAGCACCACACCCCATTGGCGTACATACCAACAACAACCCTTTCAGCCCGCGCCACGACTACACCAACGACGACGATCAGGACTGGAATCTCCCAGTCGCGCTGCTCGAAAGTCCCCCGCACGTCCCTGATATGGGGGTGGCGCCACTTGATTGGCTCACGCGCGAACAATTTCTCAAGTTCGACACCCCGCACATCGTCACGCCGCGACTGGCGCTGCTCGCACGTGACGACAACAAGCGCTACAACACCTGGTACCTGGACAGCTGCTGCGGCCAGCACATGGTGGGCTCCGAGCGTTACATATCCAACGCCGTCCCCACCCCTAACGTCACCTACGTCACTGTGGCGAACAATACACGCCTGCGCGCAAGCGCGCAAGGCACCGTCGTGCTCAAGGCACGCGGAAGCCGCACCCACATCACGCTCAACGATGTGTTGATCGTCCAGAACCTGCGCTTTAACCTCCTGTCCGCCGCACAGCTCATGGATTGCGGTGTCGACCTCAGCACGGACCACGCATTGCGAGACATCCTGCTGCACTACAAATCACGCAACTTCCCCCGCAGGCAGATCGGACGAGCGCGCTCAGAAAATGGAGTGTACGTCTTGGATTTCGACATCCCCGACTGCAGCGGCGACTCACACGAACTAATTGACCTCATGCCACTGCGCTTCGAGCACATCCACCGCAGGGACTGGAAGCACCCTGATGGTAGACCGTGGGTGCCGCACCATCCCCACCCACGTGAAACGGCACTACACAATCCCGATCCGGACGGTATATGCAGGGATTGTCACACACCGACGACTTCAACGAACGCGATTGCCGGCCGGGGACTCGCCGCCATCGCTGAAGCAGAGCGCCACGCGCCCCCAAGGGAAGGGATGTCGCAGCTCGAGCTTGAAGTCACTACCCACGGCATCTTCAGCACGCCAGAGCATCCCCTCATCGGTCCCCCCTCGCAACACCTTCAGGGGATGCTGGGCGGAACTAGCGTCGGCACCTTTGATGCCCGTGGCGAGCCGCGACCCTACACCTATGAGAAATTCCTGGAGACCTACCCTCATCAACGCGATTCGACGAAGAAAATCCCCGTGGAACAAGAGGAAGAACTGGCGCGCCGCGAAGCTAAGGAGCTTCGCCAGCAAAGTCTCGCAGAAGCACGCGGGACCTTCGCTTGCGCTGCGTGGGAAGGTGAAGCGGCACAAAATGCCTCCAATGAAGGAGGATGGGGGAGCGCTGGCGGATGGGGAACAAGCGGCACTAGCGGCTGGGGAGACAGCGGCGACATCTGGGCCAACGCGGGCGGCGGATGGGGCGCTGCAACTGGCGCCGACAATAGCGCCTGGGGTACTCTCCGCGAAGAACGAAAGGGGGGAGAAGATGAAGCTGAGGAAATTCAGGCAACACCCGCAATCGTTCCTCTCGGTCGTCCCCCGCGCCACGTTCCACTCGCACTACCTCCTCCTGACAACCCCCCGCGCCGCGATCCATGGGACACTATCACCTGGGGCAACGAACCGTCAACACCACGTCGCACCGCCTACGGACCTGCCCCTGAGCACCGCGAAGCCACCTTCGTCCCTGGAACCATCTCTGGGACCAACATCCCGCTCTCCGAAATTCGAGACAGAGAATATATGGCGTTGATGCTGACTACCGCAGCAGAAGAAGAAGAAGCAGAGGAAGCAGCAACAGAACCTACCCCCGCACTTGACGAAGACCCTGAAGATGCACGCACGCGCTACATACGCACCTCCGGCTTTCGCGCTAACGACGCACTCTGGCACCAGCGCCTCGGCCACCCTTCCCGCGCGACGCTGAAAAACTGCATCGACGCAGGCGTCTTCACTCCTGGTGCACTTCTGCGCCCTGACGGTTCCGAAGTAAGCAGCGCGACACATCCGCGCAACTGCACCGTCTGCCCTGAAGCTGAGAAGACTGAAACGAGAATGACTGAACTATGAATGAATTGAGTAGCCCTTATGGGCTTCCCCACTATAGCCTACACAACATGCACAAGCTATATGTTCTGACACACCCCCATAGGCAAAGTGGGGGAGAACAAGGGGTCACACCACCAGACAAGCAAAGCCAAGCAAAGCAAGTTCAGGGTGGATCACAAAGTCACCACACATTCCGAGCACAAGTTCAAGGCCACAAGGCCAGTTCACATGCAGGAGTACATATATATATAGA